GGTTTTCCCTTCACCGGAGGTTTTCCAGCAGAGACTGGATGATCATGAGAGGCCAGTGAGCCCACCTCCCTCTCCCCTGTCCCTCTTTCACAATTGCATCCCAGATAGATCCAAGTGGATTGCCCAAGGCCACATGGGCAATCAGTGGCAGAGCAGGGATTCAAACCCAAGCCCTCTGACCTCAAATCCAGGGCAATTTCTACCAGGTGATAAAGAGGGGCTTTGTGTTTGCATGTGGTTTGGATTACGTGTCTCTGAGGCCCTTTTACAGCTAAGATTCTATGATTCTGGCTCTGCCTGGACTGGTATGTCCCTGCCTCATGAATAGAGGGAGCAGGAATCAGGACGCCTGGATTTCAGTCTTGGCCCATCCCATCCATCACTAGAGAAGTGACTTGTCACAATCACCACCTCTCTGAGCCTGGAATCAGAGACTGTTGGAAATGGATTCTGGAGCAGACAGCCATCTAGCTTCTTCTTAAAGACCTCCAGTGACAGGGAGGTCACTACCTTCCACATTCCCTCCTGTGGCATCTTTAACGACTGGGAAGCCTTTCCTCATATGGAGCTGTGCTGTTTGTCATGCCTAACTCAAAAGGTCACCTGAGGCTCAAGAAGACAGTGCCCATAAAAAGCTTCACCTGCTCCACTGGCTAGGTCTGGCTAGGCTGCAGTGACTGTGGGCAGTGCGGGAGGTCAGGAGAGGCTGGCACATTCAGGAACCGGTGACTAGCATGGTAATCGCCAATCAATAAGCATTTACTGTGGAGCAGGCACTGTGCTAAATACTAGGGACACAAAGAAAGGAAAAACAAACAAAACAAAAAAGAAAAAAAAGTTCCTGCCCTTGGGGAGCTCTAGTCTAAGGGGAGAAGACAATATGCAAACAACTATGTACATACAAGATACAGATCGAGGCAATTTCAGGGGCAAGGTGCCGAGGACCTTAAGAGGAAAGGCCTCTTACAGGTGGAACTTGGGCTTAATCTCATAGGAAAGCATCCCAGGTGGAGGAACTGGGATGGACTGACACCGTGGGAAGGGAGATGGCTCCAGTCAAGAATGTATGTAAAGGATTTGGGGTGGAGAACCTTGTGACGGTTGAGAGGAAAGGCGCCCAGGCTCAGCTCCATTCAAGAACACTGTTAAGGAATCCAGGATGGAAAGCCTCATTTAGGGGAGCAGGAGTATGAGAAAGGACTTCAGAGCTCAGTCCTACCTCCACTGGAGCATGAAGGTAGGCGACGGTGAATAGTGGGTTGGTGCTGAAAGGACTCCAGACCTCAGACCCAGCATAGGCTGGGCATCTTGATGGAAAGTCTCGTGGGGG